CTATATTTCATCCCCATCCACTATTTGTCTTCCCCTTGAAGAGTTAGTTTTATTAAGATCCTTCTTAAATCCTCTGGATCTCTGTTTTTTAAATGCTTGTCTTTTGTATGTATGATCCAATTTTTCTGACTTTTCATTCATCATATTGTAGGTTTGCTTTAATAAACAATAATAAACAATAATTTTAAAAATGTTTGTAATCTTTGATGTCCTTAATTTTGGTTTTCAAGCTTTCCTCAGTTCTCTGGGCTCATTATCAAAAAGGTCATGTTTGCATACAGCATGCAAAATATAGTGTATTAACACTTTGTTTGTATAAACAGGAATTATTCAAATAACGTTGGCTTTCAGACTAATCTCCAGCCTTGACCTAGTGCAAATAGTTGTGTAATTTATCTAGGTTAAAAACCAAAAATTCCTATTCTAGTGTAGAGTATTTTATATTAGGGAATATAAATAACATTAGGAAAACATGATCTAGTTCATAGTTTTTATATGTAGTAATAAAAAGTATAGGTTTTATACAAATTAAAAGATGACAGGTGATGTGATTTTTTTTCTTCTTTTTAAATATGATTTTTATTTTCTTTCCCCTCATATTTTAAAGGGAATGCTTATTTTTCCCGAGTCAGATGGGGTTCTCCAATAGATCAAGATACATACATATATACATACCATCTTTCCCCAAAAATAAAACCTATCCCCAAAATAAGCCCAAGCCTGATTTTCATGCCTGAGCCTTACCCCTAAAGTAAGCCCTACCCGTCGGGCAGCCACCCGTCCGTCCATTCTATCTGGTTGCTGCCCACATGAGCCGATGGGGAGGAGCAAGGAGTGTGTGGTGGTGGCGGCAGATGAAATGTGGTGGTGGAGGATGAAACAAGGCAGTAGGGGGGTGGAGGACGAAACGTGGGGGAAGGTGGATGATGAAATGAGGCAGCAGGGAGGATGAAGCTTCTTGCTGCTGCAACAGAGCAGAAGACTGAGCAACACACTGGTGCCATGGCCATTAAGCAAGGCAGTGGGGGTGGGGGGATAGAGGATGAAGTGAAGTGGTGTTAGGGTTAGATATCAAGCTTCCAGGTAATATGTTCCCACAAAGGATAGTCCAACATGGCCATTATCCAAACACAGTCTTTTTTATTAGGAACATATCAAGTTGGCAAGGTTTGGTGTAATTCTGGATCTGATCAAATCCCGGAATTACACCCAGTAAAAGCATAAGTTTGAAACTTCTCCCCATAGTCACGTTCTCCAATCAGGTCACAGTTCATCTGTCTAATGACTCCAGACTCCACCTCCGGGCAGCTGCAGACACACACAGTTCCCACAGGAAAAGAATTTCACCTAGCAAAAACATCCCCCCCTCATCTATGCTCCCTCCTCCCAGTTACTAGAATGTGGTGAGCCCGAATACCCGCAGTCCCTTTTACACAATACTAAAGAAGCTAAGAAAGAATAGAATAAAACATGACTATAATAAAACATGGCTACGCATGTGTTATCGTCAGGGTCGACATTAGGGTTGTGTGATTGCTCTGAATGCCAAATCCTAACCCCCACCCCACCCCAGAGCAACCATATTCCTTCACTAACTTGCTTTCAAGCTCCACTCTCCGTCACCACATGCAGGGCAACAAAAGAAGTTTGTGGGACTAAAAAAAAAAAAAAATCAGACCTTCCAACTTTTTGCGGGGAAAAAAAAGAAGATTTTGCAAAGTTGGAAGGTCTGATTGAACTTTTTGTTTTACCAGTAATCCCTCAGCCTTCTTTTGTTGCCGTGCATGTGGTGGCAGTGAACGGAGCTGGAAAGCAGTGAAGGGATGCTTTGGGGAAGCAAGGGGAGATGGACGGGACCTGGAAAGCAGGTGGCAAGGCAAACCCCGCAAGGGCTCCAGGTAACCAGGGATGGAATGCAAGTGGCGGCAAGCGGTGCCATGCTAGTTGCCACCGCCAGGTAAGACAGGGAAGCAGCTGCTCTGGCTGCCGCCATCTCTCTCTGACAGCATCAGGGCTCTGCAGGCCAGGCGACCAAGGACACTGTTGGGGCTTCGTCCTCCACCCCTCACCACCTCGCTTCATCCTTCACCACCCCCACCGCTTGCTTAGGGGCCATGGCACTGGTGCGTTGCTTAGCCACCTGCTCCGTTGCGACAGTGAAGCTTTGTCCTCTACCCCCCCCACACACACACACACCTCCTTTCGTCCTCCATCCCACTCCCCCACCTCGCCTCCTGCTCCGTTGTGGCTGGGGAAAAAATGAGACGTACCCCCAAAATAAGCCATGGTGCTTATTTTGGAGACAAAAAAAAATAAGATCGGGTCTTATTTTGGGGGAAACATGGTACATATATACATAGAGAGCACAAGATGGAATCTACAGTCGCAGAGAGAAAAGTAGTTTTTTAACTTATAATAGGCAATTCAGTGTTTGAATATTACAGAATCAGGGAGGGGGGAACCTGCTTGAAAATAGAAGATAAACAGTATTATAATTAAGCACAGCTTAAGCCTTTCTTTGGCATAGTTCTCACAAGCAGACAGTTTACACAATTTGAATAAAGTAATAACAACAAAACCTTTGTATTCTGAAAGAACATTCTGTTCTTCAGTCTTATACAACCACATACTTTTGGAGTTTGAGTATCTCACAAGGATCATCTAGTCTAACCCTCCACAATGTGCAGGAAAACCAAGTAAAATGTACTCTTGTGTTTGTTCCCAGACTATATTACTCAGATTATTATTTTTTCATTGCCAATATGCGTGTAAGCAGACTTCAAGTTGCTTATACATGGAATCTGGCCTAGCTGTAAGTGTATACATTTTGTATTTATGATCTGTATTAGAAAATCATATTCCCAGTTAAACTGTAGACAGTTTGCAACTCAAAGTTACAAGATTTCAGAGTACAAGTTTTTCCTATTATTCTCTTCCTGTCAACTGTCCCATTGGCATATGCAGCAAAAGAAATTCCTGGGACATTATTTTACCAAGAATACAACTTTATTGATAGAACCATACAGGCACAGAAGAAGCGAAGCTAGCTCTGAGGTTTTCACAAGAAAAACAGCTTAGTTCATTTTCTCATTTGAGCCACCCATTGTTGTACTCTTACCTTTTGCCCAAATTTTGCTTCTTCTTTTTCCCCCCCACTGGTGATTGTTCCTGCTCCTCAGTTTCTTTGGGGCTTCAGCCTTTGAGTTCAATAAAGACAAGGGTCTCCAAACCTGGCAACTTTAAGACTTGTGGATTTCAACTCCCAGAATTCTCCAGCCAGCTATGCTATGCTGGCTGAAGAATTCTGGGAGTTGAAGTCCACAAGTCTTAAAGTTGCCAAGTTTGGAGACCTCTGAATTAAGAAGTCACCAAGGATTTCACTGGGGTGGGATGTTCCTTTAGACAGTGGCTCGTTGCATTCAATCAATCCACTCTATGCATTGGTGAGACATGTGGATTTCTGCAATGTCCTTTGCTTTTCAAGGTATACATTCACAGTCAAAAGACTCATGGGCCTCGAGTGCACCTAACAATGCAGAAACACACAGTCCTGGTCACTGACCGGGAGTTTTATTTCAGAGCGATCACACATCTCTCGGCTCCTAGTCTTACCTATCCGGGAGCCCTCCTCTGGTGGTCGTTGGTGTCTTCCAATTGAACCCAGATATGGAATCCTGGGATGAGCTCCCAGATTGTTGTTTCCAGTTTGGTCTGAGTCTGGTGCCAAAGCTGATGAAGAACAAGAGGTACAAGGTGCAGGTTTTGTTTTCTTTTATTGAAGCGCTCCAAGAAAAGGGGTCTTAGCCAAAATGCCAAGGAACCTTAAACAATAGAATTAAGAAAGCTTTATATATTTTCACTAAAGCAAAAGATGGATAAGGCGGGATATATAAGAAATGTCATCTAATTGTAATGATCTAACAATTATTCTATTGGTCTCTAGCCATCCCTATTCCTAAGTCTTGATTAATGAATGCTTCAGGAGTTATCTAATACACATTCTACTTGCTCCAGGCCATCCCTATTTCTAACTTCTAGGTGAGGTCTGCAAGATGTCTAACTCTGTGCTACTTTTTCCAGCTTTCTAACCACCCAGAATTGTTACAAGTTTTACACCTGCGTATTCTTTGTTCTTGCCAGACAGACTCCACAATTACAGGCTTCCTGATCTCCTTTCAAGTGTATGCCATAACCTTGCTTTGTTTTAGCAGGCAGCCCATTTACATTGTCCACTATCCACTAATCCAAAACTTTCTTTTTATTTTGGGAAAACAGTTTGTGCCTTCGGAAGGCTCCCGTTGCATGCCGTTGAAGTATCAGGATCTGCAAACAGCTCACATCAATTCCTTACCTCTCTGCCAGCTCCCAATACATTCCAAGCATTCTCCTCCCTCGTCCCGGCCCTTCATTTCTGTTGTCAAGCTGTGAGTAGAGGTGCATTACGAGTCAGTCAGCCGACACTTCTACTGTATTCCATAACAAAAATAAGAGATTTACTTTAGCATTGGCCCTAATAAGAATAGGAATAGAGGCCCAGGTGCGCTCTCTCCCTCTCTCTCCCTCTCTCCATTGTAATTTAACGGGAAGAGCAGGACACAGCCAAAACAAAAACAAAACAAGAAAAACAGAATCACTGGTAAAAAAAATTGTCTGTGAAGAAAGTCTGCAGTAAAAAAAATATTTCAGAGTTTTGGAAAAGCCATTTTCAGATTTAGTCAGTGTTATTTTGAGCCGTTCTACCTCATCAATGCCATGTGATCAAGACCTCTTAGACATACTGTTCCATTCTATATACAAACTATACCTTATTTCACAGCAGAAAGGCCAGTCTAGTAAGTAGAGTATCCAAGTGTTCTCTTAAGAACACATGACATCACAATTGTGTAGAAACATTCTAAGCTTGATAATTTCCTCTGAACCTCTTGAAACACTGAGGTGACCTGTCTAGTCAAGGCTGTCCCTAATAAATTAACCCTTCCTCACCAGTGAGGAAGAGGAGGATGACAGAGGAAAGAGAGTGGATAAAAAGAATTCAGGAAGAAAATGCACATCTCAAAAATCAAATTCGGCTGCTAAGAGAAAATTATGAATTACGCACATTGTTGAGTCAGTCTGAGAACAACAATCAGGCCCAGTTCATAGCACCTCAAATTTCTCCTACGTATCCTGATGCTAGTTCATTAGGAAAAGCAGGTAAGAAACATACCAAGTTAGCCTGTTAAAAGCAATTGTTATATAAATATTGTAAATACATTTCATTGTATATCAAAATTAATTCATACAATGCAGTAGGACCTTGTTAATTCATGTATGGAAAGAAGACACTTTGATCAAATCTATATCTATAATAGGAAGCATAATGGGCCAAAAAGGAAAGGCTACACATGATTTAAATAGCAGGAGGACAAATTATTCTGAATGAATGTGCATATATGCACACGCGCACACACATCTTCAGGATTTTTACAGTTTTTAATTTCTATGAGCTTTTACTTGCATGCCTGTATCCTTATCATAGTATATTCATTTTCAGGGTAACCACCATTATGGAAAGCACAAAAATTAAAGAAAACATTGTAAGCCAAATAAATTAGGTTCACAAAATAAGGAAAAGGAAGATCTGTACAGAGAATTTGCATTTATACTTCCCATATCTTTCTATATTTTTCTAACACATAACCTCCTTCCCCCATACCTGTAGACTGTACTGCCTTTCTTTAGCCTTTCATTTCTTTCTTTTTGAGGACTATCAACTACTGTATATCCAACCACAACTTTTTTGGTTTTCTCTTCCTTTCAAACCATTTATTCTTCCTTCATATTTTGTGAGTCAGACCCCATCAAAATAGCCAAAAGAATTCAGTAAACCTGTTTAATACTGGTCTCTCTTTGTTATTCAATCAACATTCATTTAGCATCCTTTCATTCCTATGGTCCATGAACACAGATTCCACCTAGTTGCCTCTAGGTCAACTGATACTTCGAAAAGATGTAGTAGAACACCTTTAGTGCTATGCATGCTACATGAAGCATTTTCTGTGAACATTAACATTTTCTTCCACATTCATAAAGTTGAAATGTATCTTGTCCACCCAGTCTCTCTCTGAAGGTCTCCAGTGAGGGAAACCTCACCACTTTGTGGGACAGTCTGTTCCTGAAGTGAGAACTTGTAGAATTCAGAAATCAAATTGGTAATAAGAACACCTGGATCAGTGGTGGGATTCAAAAATGTTCTGTTCCGGTTCTGTGGGCGTGGCTTGGTGGGAAAAGTGTGGTTTGGTGGGCATGGCTTGGTGGGCATGGCAGGGGAAGCATACTGTAAAATCTCCATTCCCACCCCACTCCTGGGGGAAGGTTACTGCAAAATCCCAATTCCTCTCCACCCCACTAACCTGCTTTCCAGCTCCGTTCTCCTGTGCAGGGCAACAAAAGAAATCCCAGCCAATCAGCTGGGACTTGGGAGGCAGAGAATAGATGGGGGAGGGACCAGTCAGAGGTGGTATTTGCCAGTTCTCCAAACTACTCAAAATTTTCACTACCGGTTCTTCAGAACTGGTCAGAACCTGCTGAATACCACCTCTGACCTGGATTCCTTTTTACACATACTACTTTCAAACCAGTTCATCTAATCCTATATTGGTGCCTTTCCTTTATTTCCCCAGTTTTGCAATTATTTCTGTTAAATTCTATAAGGTAGCCCACAATTTAGAACAGTTTATTTAGTGACTGTTTGAAGTTATAATGGCACCGAAAAAAGTGGTTTATAACCGTTTTTTACACTTACAACTGTTGCATCATCCCCATGGCCACATGATTAAAATTTAGATGCTTGATGCTTAATATTTATGATAGTTGCAGTCTCCTGTGACCTTCTGACAAGCAAAGCCAATGGGAAAACCTTCTTCACTTACCATGTTCCTAACTGCACAACAGTGATTCACTTACCTACCATTGGAAGTAAGGTCATAAAATAGGGCAAAATTCACCTAACAAATGTCTCGCTTATCAACATAAATTTTGGGCTTAATTGTAGTCGTTAGTCAAGGACTCCTTGTATTACTACACACTGTTCAAGTCAATCTAGTTCTATTTTAATGTTCTCTCTTTCTTCCAAAATACTAGCCATTTACAAACTTGGTAAGGTCTTGCAGAAATCTGATTCAACCCACTTGTTATTATTTTATTTTATTAAGGAATATCATAAGGCACTCTTGCCACAAGCTTTGTTATGGACCAAGTATACTACTCTGTATCAATGGCAATGTTCTACTAATAAGAATTATTAGCATAATTTGCTTCATCAAGCCCATGCTGGCTTCTGTTAATTATAGCTTCTTATCTACGTGCTCAACATGCATATTGGTAGACCTTCCTGTGTATAGAATTCATTCTGATAGGCCTACAGTTTCTCAGATCCACGTCCTTTCTTTTATTGAAGATGAGAATACATTTGCTCACAAGGAGGAATTCTTAAAGGTTACAAATATTAGCTTGTTTCTTCAGTACCTCTGTGAAAGGTAGCTTTTCCCGCTCTTTGATATTTTTTTTACATTTCTGTCTGAAGATCAGGTTTCCCTGATGCATTTCAGTAGACCAATTATCTCCTTTCCAGACCTCCCACTTGACTGCTCTTGCCAAACTCCTATTTGCTCTTCCCATTGGTTAGCTCAGAGAGCTTAGGTCAACATTTATTTATTCATCTCTCTCTCTCCCCCTCCACTGTCTCACACATACACACACTTTCCTCCATTCTATAAAAAATGTTAAAAGTCCCAGATAAAATGATGATAATTATTGCTTTAATTATCTTGCTTTAATACGCTGTTCAGTTGGAATACAAAAGTCACATTCAGTATCAAAAAGAATTGAATACAACTTATTGAAGTTCAAGAAAGCATGTTTGGACTGTAGAAGTTAAATGATTTTTGCATGTGTTCTGGGTAGATATTTTGAAGCATTTCAATCAGTATAAATAGACCTGTTATCTCAGTCTATTTTCCAAGAACAGGTTGATCAATAGACACCACACTAGATGCTTTCACTGATAATGTTTTCTAGAAATAGCATAGGCTCTGATGATGTCAAGAGGTATCGTGTCAGTGTCTAGATATGTACATGACATACATGACATAAATGTAACTATTTCTATTGTTTGTGTTTCTTTTCAGCTCAGTCTGTCAGAAAAGATTATAATTATTCTCCCCACATCTTTTCCAAAGAGGCCAACATGTCATATCCTAGCACCCAGTCACCAATTAAATTGTTCCACACTGATCCTGTTACTGTTCAATCTAGAAGTGAAGATAGGAAATCTGCACACATCGCAAATATACCATATTCTACCATGCCTGGAAAACAGCGTGAAGAACTCACAGACATATCAATGTTAAGGAAATCTTGGGCTCCAGATGGTCCTTTCCCTGGTGGTGATAAGGTTCAAACATTTCCATTTAGCATTGGTGAGAAATTATATTTGATGTCAACACTTTATGTGTTTATTTTAGATAGATGTCTGCAGAGTTAATGGCATAGCGTTTGTTCTAGAAGCATCTGAATGTTTTCCACTTTAAGTCCATGAAAACAAATGTATAGTGTCAAAGTAATTATCATGAGTGACTAAGTTCTATCTGTGGATAAATCTGTTAACTACACAACTCCTCATTTTAGATCTTCATGATCCAATTTAGACATGAAATAACCTGAAATGTTAACATATTCCAATCATGGTTGCACGATAGATCTGTGTAAGAGATTTCACACACTAGCTGTGATTTTCAGTTCCTTATCTAAAGCTCCTAAAAGCAGATCTGGCCCTCATAGCAGCTTTAACATATCAAATTGCTGTTTTAATCAAGATATCTATAAACATCAACATTCTGCCAGTCAGGTATACATTTCGTTATGAGCTTTGCCTCCATAAATAAACTTGCTTAAACAGCTTATATAAAGCTACACCTACAATATTCTTTCCTTCCATTTGGAAATAGCTTTTTGAAGGGTCTTCTTTGTCATTTTAAGTAATGTTGGCCATTTAATTGCTTATTAATAAGTTATCAATTTTAATAAATATGTTAAAAGCAATGTCCTGATGTTTTAGGAACTTCACTATTTGCACCCTTTATTGTGAAAATTACCCATTCGTTCATACTCTGAACTTTTTAAAAAAATCACGTTAAGGTTGCACAAGACATTGGAATGCCTCACCACTCAAACCTTTTGTCATAACTTCACAAGATTTAAGCAATCAACACTCCAAATATTGAAAAAAACAACGACCTTGTTCTTTATTGCTAAATGAACTGGATAAAGATACAGATGTTATCAAGCCCCAGTTTATTTATGGCCTAGCTATTCACAGAAAATGTGGAGAACAGTGAGAGGAAAATATTTATTTGGGGGGGGGGGATATGCCCAGTAAAAGGAATTTCTATCATTCATTTGCTGTTTTATTACTCTTAGCGTAACCTGGTGCTAAATCTGCTTAACTGCAGCTCATTACAAAACAGGAGGACTCCTGAATCCAAAAGAGAAGCTCAATTCCTCAACATCGTGGCCAGAAGAATCACCTTCTTCAAAGACACACAAAGAGGATGCCCAAGCACAGATGACATTTTCTAACGATGTAAACATCCCCAAAGGCAGGAGTCCTGAGAGACAGTCCTATTGCTTAGGAGCTAATGCTCTGGATACCAGCATGGACAAAACCCAGCTTGAATTGCAAGAGATGCCTCGGAAGAAAAGAGTCTGGTTTTCTGATTCACCTGCGACAGACAAATTAAGGAAGTTCCATACGTTCTACCTGAATGGTAATGCTGAGACTTTGTTGGCTGTTTTACGTTGCAGATGTTGTGAAGGGAAACCCTCACTGCCCCACCAAAACATTTTTAGAGTTTTCACATCTCTGTGTGGTATGTTTGTGTGTTTGTATAACACAGGGGTCCCCAAACTTGGCAACTTTAAGACTTGTGGACTTCAACTCTCAGAATTCTCCAGCCAGCTATGCTGGAGAATTCTGGGAGTTGAAGTCCACAAGTCTTAAAGTTGCCAAGTTTGGAGATTTCTGGTATAACAGAACAAGAAATCTGAGAATTTAAATATGCGTAATATTTTTTATTACTCATTAGAAATACATTTTTTTAAATTAAAAAAACCTTTATTAAACATTAAAAAAGATAAATACAAAATACAATATATGCCATTAAAACAAAAAACACAGTATACATTACAAATCAATTTGATGGTGCTTATGTACCAAATGTTGTTCCAATACCTATTTCACATTTCTGGTTATTATTCATACATTAACCTCTTAAACTATTCCTTCCTTATTTATTTACTTGCAGGTTTCTATTATTTATCCATTTGTACCAGTTTTCCCAGACTGTATAATACTTGGGTCTTCCTTTTGTTTTAATTTTAGAGTAAGTTTATCCATTTCAGCACAATCATAGATTTTTTGGATTAAACTCTCTGTTGGCATGAGGTTTCCTTTCTAACACTATGCGAGCGCTAGTCTCGCTGCAGTGATTATATGCAAAATTAAATATTTTATCTCTTGTGCAGTCACCATTTATTATCCCCAATAGAAAAATTTCTGCTTTGAGTTCTAATTAAAAAGTCATAATTTCTTTTATCCATGTTCGTATTATTATCCAATATTTCTTAATTTTCAGGCAAAGCCACCATAGGTGGAAGAAGGTGCCCTGTGTTTGTTTGCATTTCCAGCAGATTGGGCTTAGATTGGGGAACATGTTGGCTAATCTCAAAGGAGCCAGATACCACCGATAACACACTTTATATTGATACCGCCGATTTCGTTATTGTGTAATTCTTTTTCCAAATTCTTTCCCAGTCTTCCAAATCAATGTTATTCCACATTTCTTGCCCATGCTATCATTCCTCTGCCATCTCAAACTCTAATAGATAATTATACATTTTTGAAATTACTTTCTCATCTGTACCCTCTAAGAGATTATCTAATTGATTTGGCTTTACTTCTATTCGGTATTCCTCCTGATCTTTTTTATACCTTGTTTTTAGCTGGAGGTACCAGTCTATCTTCAGCCCTTGGACCCCGAGTTCTTGATTTGTTTTTAATATTCTTTGGAAATCTAGAACTTCATAATATCTAGTCATTTTTCCAATTTCTAGGGTGTTGAGATGCATCAATGCCTCTATGATGGATACCCATCCTGGAATTTTTATATAGTGTTTGTTTTTAATATCCCACCATAATCAATCTCAAATTATATGTCTCTGGAAATAAGCTTGGGTCTTATTTCCTGGGTTCCACATGAAGGCATGCCACCCTGCCTGTAGGTCGTGCCCAGGGGTGGGGTCAATTTTTTTAACAACTGGTTCTGTGGATGTGCCTTAGTTCGTGGGCATGGCTTGCTGGTCATGTGACTGGGTGGGCCTGGCCAACTCAACATCACTCACATCAAGGGGCGCTTCTCCTCACCTGGCCTCTCATGACAGTGGGGATGCTGCAACGGTTGTAAGTGTGAAAATGGTCATAAGTCACTTTTTTCAGTGCGATTGTAACTTTGAATGGTCACCAGTGTTAGACCAAAACTCAAAAAGGGTATGTAAACCCATGTGCGAATGTCAATCTTTCTAGCTAGCCAAGAAGCCTTGCTGAATGTCACTCATCTTGGTTCCTTGTCATTAAAAGCTTTTTTCTGGCAGCTCTGCTTCATTATTCAATTATTTCTTCAAAGTGCTAACTCCAACAGGGGAGTATTTCCTCCCAACAGCAGTGTAAAAAGCTTAAAACAACCCTTCCCCTTTAAGAAATTACCAGTAAAGAAAAAAAAAACTTCCTTTGGAGACAGTAAGTCTAGGCATACTGCCAAGAATGCAAGAATGGTGGAAAAAAACAAAAGGAGATTTCTTCCAACAACTGGTTCTCCGAACTGCTTAGAAAATTAACAACTGGTTCTAGCGAATAGGTGAAAATCTGTAGAATCCCACCCCTGGTCATGCCCCTGTATAGTTAAAATTCTTTTGTTTCTTAGAGTGGCCCATTCTTTGATCCATATTAAACCTGCTGCTTTGTAATATATTTCCCAGGCAGGGAGTCCAAATCCACCTCTGCTTCTATTATCATGTAGTGCACTCAATTTTATCCTTGCTCTTTTACCTGCCCAAACAAATTTCATAATCATTTTATTTAAATACAAAAAATATATATCCAATTTTACCGGGATCATTTGGAAGAGGAAAAGTAATCTTGGTAAGATAGTCATTTTAATAGCCGCTATCCTCCCTAGCAATGATAGCTGTATTTTCTTCCATTTTTCTAGGTCTTTCTTTATTTGCTGTACTAGATTTGCATAAATATCTTCTTTTATTGTTGAACATCTTACTGTAAGCCAGATGCCCAAATATTTAACCTTTTTTGCAATTTGTAAACCTGTTACTTCCACTAATTTCTTTTTCTGATTATCTATTAAGTTTTTTGTTATCATTTTAGTTTTGTCTTTATTAATTGTTAGACTGTTACTTCCCCAAACTTCTCTCTCTCTTTTATTAATTTTGGTCCTGATTCTATTGGTTCTTCTATGAAGAATATGTTTTTATTTATTAAATAAATCTATACAGAAAAACTAATGAGCTACCCAAATGAACTCTGGGTGGTGAATAAAATAAGAACAAAATACAGAAAAAAACAACCAGCTTTACTTAGCACTTTAATTCATATTATCCTTAGTACAGTATAAAAATGATCCCTCCTACTTTTAATTTATTGCATTGTTATTACACAGCCCTCAAGGACCTTTCATTTCCCTAAAATACAAACAAAATGTAAAAAAAGGATGACTAGTAACAATACGAGACTGTCCTGTAGAATTGTTTTCTCCCTGGTCTTTTTATGGGTTATCATCTAGAGCCATTCTAACACACAGTCTCTCAGACCATCCTGTATTTGGCATTATTATATATTTATTTACAGCATGGGATATCATATACGGACCAGCAATTTTAAAATCTTACTTCTCTTTTCCTTCCCAAGACTCAAGGTTTTAGTATGCTTATGTAACAATTGTTGCATATTTTTGTCATCTCCCTTACTCACTGTAGATGGTGACCTGAGTGTGCCCGAATTTGTTACATTATAATTATTGTATTGGTGGGATATGCAGTGACCCTCAGTTTAAAGTTACGTTACAGCCATTTTAAAAACTGTCCTGTTTTCATTCTTATGATTAGAGACTTCCTAATTCAATTTAGTAACTGAAATTGCTTTTTATATTTAATTTTTTGTTTATTTTTTTTAAATCCTGAGATATATTTTTTTAAAAAAAAAACAGAATTAGATTATGTTTGCAAACATTTATTGTATCTTTTATCGGGAATCATTCTTTCAACATTGCAAATAAGTGCAGGAATTTGATCAACAATTTTAATTTCTAAGTGGTCCTTAAGCTATTCCATTGTAGGCAGATCTCCTAGTTAATTTCTTTCTCTCCCCTCTTCCCATTCTAGCATTTACAATTAAAAGTCAAATAAATAGTTAAGTAAATGTAAACTGATGGCAAACATACCACTATTTTTTTCTACACCTCTAAGAAATGCTGAATTTCTTGCAAACTCCTGATAGTCTGACTTTTATTTGAGTCATATCATGAGCTATGATGGAAAAGAAGTGGTTGTTTTCTGCTGTGAGTTATATTTTATACCTAAACAAGCAAGATCTGACCATTGTAATTTCTCTAGATATCACAAAAGCTTATGATAAACTGGCTGGTAGGATTTTTAAGTATTTTGATCAAATGTGGCTTTTGCAAAAAAATTGAATAAATATGTTATATATTTATTCCAGTGGTTGGATTCAAATTTTTTTTTACTACTGGTTCTGTGGGCGTGGTTTAGTGGGTGTACTTTGGTGGATGTGGCCATGTGATGGGGTGGGCGTGACTTTTTTTTTTTGCTTTTTTGCACCCCCCCCCCCATTTTTGAGCCTTCTGGGCCTCAGGGGAGCCTCTGGGGGGCGTTTTTGCTCCCAGAAGACTCCTCTGGGGCTCAGGAAGAAAAAAAATGGAGCCCTGGAGGGGGCACACAGCCCCCCCCCAGCTCCATTTTGGAATCTTCCTGGCCTCAGAAGAGCCTCTGGGGGGGGTTTGCTCCCAGAAAACTCCTCTGGACCTCAGGAAGGCAAAAAATGGATGAGGGGGACTGAGCCCCTCCCTCTATTTTTTGCCTTCCTGGGCCTCAGCAAGGGGAATCCCGGCACAGCTGATCGTATGAACAGCTGATTGTCAGGAGGGGAAAAAAAGAAATACCTTAAGGGGCGAGTGTCAGGAGGTCGGGGTGAGCAAGCATTGGGCGGGCGGGGCAAGCAAGCAAGGGGCAACTGGGTCGAGGGCGTGGCCAGCCAGAATTTACTACCGGTTCGGCGACCCATGCCAAATCCTTGCCACCCCGGCTGAATACCACCACTGATTTATTCATTCATAATTAGTTCGACTAACAGAGTTGGAAGGGAACTTGGAGGTCTTCTCAGTCCAACCTGCTCAGGTAGGAAACCCTATAGCATTTTAGACAAATGGTTGTCCAGTCTCTTCTTAAAACCTCCAGTGTTGGAGCGTTCACATCTTCTGGAGACGAGTTGTTCCACTGATTAATCGTTCTAACTGTCAGGAAATTTCTCCTTAGTTTTAGGTTGCTTCTCTACTTGATTAGTTGCCATCCATTGTTTCTTGTCCTGATCTCAGGTGGTTTGAGAATAGATTGACCCCCACTTCTTTGTGGCAGCCCGTGAGATATTGGAACACTGCTATCATGTCTCCCTAGTCCTTCTTTTCATTAAACTAGACATACCCAATTCCAGCAACCGTTCTTTATAGGTTAATGTAATAATATACTTATATATTTATTCATATATCAGTCATAATTTATTATAAACGATATATATTCTTATGTTGAAATGAATCCTAAAAAAGTATCTGATCGCCTTACTTCTTAAATATAATTTCAGAGTTGCTTCCTTGTACCATTAATAATGTATAATTAATGAGAGCCAAATTGGTGTAGTGGTTAAGGTGCTGATGTAGAAACTGTAGATCATAAATTCTAATCTCACTTTAGGCATGAAAGGCAGACTTTGTGCTAGTCACTGTCTCTCAGTCCAGCTCACCTCACAGGGTTGTTGTTGTGAAGAAAATAGGTGGTGGGCAGAGGTGGTATTCAGCAGGTTCTGACCAGTTCTGAAGAACCGGTAGTGGAAATTTTAATTCGTTCGGAGAACCGGCAAATACCACCTCTGACTGGATATTTTACAGTATCCATCCCCTGCCATGCCCACCAAGCCACGCCCACAGAACTGGTAGTAAAAAAAATTTAATCCCACCACTGGTGGTGGGAGCATTAATCCCATATGCTATCTTGAGTTTACAAAAAATAAAGACAGGATAAATCAAATAAATGATTTCTTTATTAAGAAGTATTATATTTCAGTGAAATTAAATATAAACTAGTTTTTCAAGCAGGTAACAGATCAGAAATTATGACCACAGTTTTTATTTAATAGAAATTTGTTTTTTATTCTGTTATATTGTTGTTGTTATTAGTCGTGAAGTCATGTCTGACACATCGTGACCCCATGGACAACGTCCAGGCCTTCTTGTACTCTATCATCTTCTGGAGTCCATTTAAGCTCACGCTGACTGCTTCAGTGACTCCATCCAGCCACCTCATTCTCTGTCATCCCGTTCTTCTTTTGCCCTCAATCGTTCCCAGCATTAGGCTCTTTTCCAGTGAGTCCTTCCTTCTCATTAGGTGGCCAAAGTATTTGAGTTTCATCTTCAGGATCTGCCCTTCTAAAGAGCAGTCAGTGTTGATCTCCTCTAGGACTGACCGGTTTGATCGCCTTGCAGTCCAAGGGACTCGCAGGAGTCTTCTCCAGCACCATAGTTCAAAGGCCTCAATTCTTTGGTGCTCAGCTTTCCTTGTGGTCCAACTTTCATAGCCATACATTGCAACTGGGATTCTGCTATATAAACAAACATAAATGATTTCTGATGCCACTGGGCTCTAGTAAGACTATTGATGTGCTCAGGATTTGTGGTTTAAGTGATTTCTACTCTCACTCTCCTTCAGTATGAACATGTGATGATGGGTTATGAGTATTTTTTTTAATCTAATCAAGGGAAAAGTTACAGACAGGCTATTTTATAGAAGTGTTTTTGGCCTCTCCTAGCTAAGATAAAGTATATATCTGTTTTTTCCCTCTAGATATAGAAATTGCTCAAAACAACAAGAAAAATGGGCGCATCGTGGGAGAGATTGCTTTCCAGTTAGACAGGCGTATCCTTGCACATGTGTTCCCTGGAATCACACGGCTCTATGGATTTACAGTATCCAATATTCCTGAGAAAATAAAGCAAGTAAGTGATTCTATCTCAACACTTAAGAGATAAATTGAGATTTTGACAAGATTGTAGACCTGAATAAAACTTAGAGGCCCAGCTTTTGTGGCAGAGGAAGGCAGCCTCTTAAGATGTCAAAGAAGAGAACTCTGGTCATAATAAAAGCGGATCTCCTTGTATTGCCTAGGAGAGCTCAGTTTAAAGTGTAAAACAAAACACCTTTTTCTCAGGCTAGGTGATAATTTCTTGTTGATAGAATTACTTCTGTTGGTAGAGGGAAGATAGTTCTATCTTCTATTTTCTATAGTTAGATAGAATTACTTCTATTGTTACGTTCCACACCTGATATATCAGAGTTCTTCATAAACTGATAAATTTTAAGTTTTCATTTTATAGATCACATTAACATAATCAAACCTTATTTTTCTTCTAAACCAAATACCTTTCCAAACTGTTGTATGGATGTAGATTTAGGCAAAAGTCACTAATTATTAATAAAAGCTAAAATAGCACGTTTGCATTGTGATAACTGGTGTTTTATCTACTTTCATTTGCAAAATATCATTTGATTGTCTAATAAAACAGGCCAATGATCTCAAACAAAGTTAACTATGAGCAGAGATGAAAACTCTTAATCATATCCAGAGGACATCTTAATAAATGAAGAAATAATTGCATTTGTTAACTCTAGCTGAGATATTTAGATATCATATTTTAACCCACCTGTTAAAAAAAGGAAGGGATTCCAATTTTTATTAAAATAAGTTCTAAAAACATAATCTGCCTCGTATCAAAACTTTTTCCTATTTCCATGGAAGCCACCACTGCCAACTCAATTTCTATGCATACGTTCCTAAATTAATCGTTATATTTCTAAACTAATACCTAAAACTGTGATATTCAGTTCTTCATTTTTATTTTGGTCACTGATCAGCACAAAACATTTATATGAAAGGAGTGCATGAACAGGTCTTATTTCAACTTTTAGTAAAGAACTAGAAAGATTTTCTTTATGCATTTCCCCCCAAATATACCAGATGAATATGTAATAAAAACCCAGAAGAGTCAGAGTTCATTGCTGCTACATTAAATTTGTTAGGTCCAGCTACAAATTTGCATCTGAATCTTCTCAGCCTTGGTTTTTTTATGAATAAAAACTCATTCATATTCATGCTATAAGTAACTGTAATGATATTGTAGTGATGTTGCAGTAGAGGACTCTGAGTTTATGTGTGTGTATATGTAGGGATTTAGACAGAACAATCTTTTTTGCATTTATAAGAATTTTTCCAGGACTATCAAAACTGAAGGTTTGGATCATGCATGCATGAGGAAACTTACATCAATAATACAAACATCCACAGAATTGCAAAGCTTCAGAATTGTATCAGGAGATTAGCCAACTTAAATAGAAAATATTACAACAATAGTACCGTGTTTTCCCGAAAATACAACCTACCCTGAAAATAAGACTTAGCATGATTTTTCATGCTGTTCGCAATATTAGCCCTACCCCCAAAATAAGCCCTACTTCAGAGTGTCATCAGCAGGGGTGGGGCAGTGGGTGTGGCCAGCATAGGAGGTGCCATAGACCAGATGGTGTCTGGAAGCAGCTGCAGATAAGGAGGAGGCATGTGATCTGTCCCACCATCTGTCTTTGCTTGCAGAGTGTACACTGGAGCTGGAGAACCAGACTGGACAGCGGAGGCCAAGAACAACCCCCAGAGGGCCTCCCCTCCACCGGCCTGCCAGGGCCCCTTTGCCAGCAGCCACTGGTGGAGCCATGTCACCTTACCTCCTCTGCTGCCTTCAAGCTGCGGAGTGCCTTCCTGCAGGTCTACTTGGTGCTGTAGATTCCAGGCTATGAGATGAGCCCAGCGCTCTTCGGACCCTGGTGCTGGTGGGTGCTAGCTTTCTTGCTGGCTGTGCAATGCGATGTGAGTGGCCAGCTCCACCAGTATCATTCCGGAGGTCATAGATCTGGGACTACTTGCCCCGCACCAGGCAGGAGCAGCCCAGCAGGATGGCTGAAAGCAGTGCTGTCAGGAGGGTGAAGAGCCCCCAGAAGGCCAGCAGCAGCATAGGCAACTGCTCAGTAGCTAGTGGCCAAAAGTGTCCCAGCAGCAGCAGAGCCAGCCCGCAGGGCAGAGGGAGGCGGGGGTATGCCAAAAACTTGGGCCATTGTGCCTGCAGACAAGCAAGTGGTGGGATGGAGAGGACGGGGCCAGTGGGCTCGCTGCCTCCTGTATGCGGAAAAAATAATAAGCCCGAGTGCTTATTTCAGGGCCTAAAAGAATATAAGACTAGGTCTTATTTTTGAGGAAACATGGTACTATAAAATCCATTTCACAAATTTACAAAAAAACTGTACAATTGTCATATTTTTCTTTTCTGCTCCTATTAGTGTTATACAAAATTCAGGCTGATTTACACTTCCATAAAATATTAACCATAGGTTTATATCTGATAATTCTTAGGTCTCCACAAGATCTTTAGATGGTTCTCTAGACGAGAAAAAGTATCGAGCTATAACCCAACGTTATCATAACCTGATTACCCGCTTGGAGAAAATGGGCTACCGCACCGATGTCCACCCAGTGTTTAGTGAATTTCTTATCAACACCTATGGCATCCTGAAGCAAAGGCCTGACCTCACCTCTAACCCCATGAATGACAATCCTAATGATCTCAGAAAAATGGTGATAGACATTGTCCCAGCTAAATTCCTTGGTGATACCTTACTGCTCTTGAACTGTTTGTGCGAACTTTCCAAAGAAGACAACAAGGCCCTTTTTGCCTGGTAGTGCCTCCTGCAATGTCCTCATTTTTAATAGAAAGAGCACCTAAGCATATCATATACATAATAAAGAATGCTGCTAAAAGAGGGTGTGGGATAATACGTGTATGATTTTTTTAAATTAAGCTGTGGCTGTCCAAATCACTGCTTCATGTTGTATGTAATTTGGTTTTGGGCAAAGTTTATATTTCGTGATATTTTTGAAAACATGCTGTATTGATAATGTTTCACTGGTAACTGCTATGTCAGGGTATATTTTGATGGGAATATTAATAAAATAAAATAGGAGTGGTTGTTTGTTGCAACAGTTTAAAAACTCCCAATTAAATCCTGCATTATTTCTGTCAGATTATAATTTTATTTTACTTGTTCCACAAAGGTACGACATAACTTAATTTAAAATTTGAATGTTTTTCAAGAAATGCATCTATTTCTCGTGCCTATAACAAACCTGGGACATTTTGTTTCTGTGGGAATAACATGTATATAACTTCCTTTGGATTGACACAGCACTGTATATCACCATTGGTGATATAAAACATTTCCAGCACTTCCAAAATCTTGGATTCTGGAATCCTGTCACTTAGAATGATGAATGTGCATTCGAATGTTTGTCAATGTATTCAAATGTTTGAAAGTGTAATAGAGTTTCCAAATTAGTTTTAGGATGACAAAGGGAGGGATTAATTTTTATCATAGGCTTAGTTCCAATGAGAAGTCTGTGCATTTTTTTCAAAATGAACACAACTGCTATTTCAAATGCTATTGCAAAGCTTCATTTAATGGAGTGGTTGATGGTTATCAACATTCTGCTTTATTCCTGTAATTGATGATTAGGCCCCTGTTGAGGCTGTATGCCACTAATGGAGAGGGGAATATATGGCTCCTCAGATGCTGTTAAACTATATTGCCCCATCACTCCAGCCGGCATGGCCAATGATAGGTAATGGTGGAAGCTGTATACAACTCCTGAAAAAGCCAGGGATTCCCTAGACCTTTAATCAAATTTTATCTTAAAAAATGCTAAGCAGTTCTTAGAATCATCTGTCTTGTTTTCCTTCTTTCTTCAAAGAGTTATTCTCTCCCTTTTCATATTATTTTTGTGCCATTTATCTATTTAGTGAAGCATGAATTCTGTCCAATTTTGCAAAGGATGAATTATTGTTGAGTTTAATAAATGATTTCCAGTCAAATGACATTGGAATGTTATTACATCTTTTCTCCTTCACAGGGTTGATTTGGTAAAAGAGACCCAGGTTTAAGACGATCCTTATGTGGGAAGAAATATCCATCTGGTTCAGTTCCAAGCCAGGAGAAAGGCACTGGAGACAAAATGGAGGCTGATTGGAAAGAGGGACCATTTATTGATGAACAGAAACACATGTTTGTGGTTCTGGTGCAGCTGACCACATGAAGTTGAGAGTGAGGGGTTTTTATACCTTCTTTAAGCTTTGCACTTGAGCTTCCTGTTCCTGTGCAAGAACATGTATTCTATTGGCTCTTGTCAAACTCCCATGGGGCCATGTAGGGGTTATGTAGGGTCATAACTGGCTCTGTAGGCAAAGTACAAATCTGAGATCTTTGTCTGAACTAAGTTTGGTTGAAGTTTCTGAGGGTGATGCAATAATTCCTATTGTGGGTTAATGCTTTATCCTGTGTTGGATCTTGAGTGATGGCTGCTTCTAATCCTACCATTCTGCCTTTGTTTCAAAATATCCTGTCTTAAATGGATTACCAAATCAGCATTTCTTTTTTTTCCCAACTTTTACTGGATTTTATGTTTAAGTATACATAATGTCAATACATGAACAGTGTGGTCTCTGGGTATAATTCATTTTGATATAAACAGCAATAATGATAATCATAATAGTTATTATGTTAATCAAACTTATATAATCCTAGTATTAATATACATGGTTTTAAGAGTAGTTATTCAATATTTCAATGTTCCATTTTAATGCCAATGATATTATAAGCATACATGGTAATACTATCTTTCAACCTCTGATCTTTTCCATCAAATTATTACTTATATTCTGTTATATAAAAATTATAACTACTAATATTCCTATTTCTCCAGAGTATCCACCCGAATCCCCATCTCTCTTTCAAAAATATCTTTCAGGTTATCTGATTCAATTTTTAAATCTCTTAAACAGTGGTGGAATTCAATTTTTTTTACTACTGGTTCTGTGGGCATGGCTTGGTGGGTGGGGCAGGGGAAGGATACTGTAAAATATCCAGTCAGATGTGGTATTTGCTGGTTTTCCGAACTACTCAAAATTTCCGCTACCGGTTCTCCAGAACTGGTCAGGACCTGCTGAATATCACCTCTGCTCTTAAAGTACTTTTCCCTTGGTTTATTTCATCAGTCATTATTGTTTTTATCATTTCCTTCTCATCTTCTTGCTTTGTTTCATGGTTTGTCCATTCTATTTTTCCTTCCGTTCTTTCTGCTATCTCCTCTTTTTCCTGGACTCTTTGATCTTCATTCATTATCAGTTATAGCATATTTTCTATTTTCCCATATATGCCTTGCATTAGGGTCTTTATCTCTCTGTGATTCTTTTCCATAGTATATTCTTTTCCATAGTACCCCTAATGCTTTGAAACATCAATGCCATTCTCTTGAAATCTCACTCCTTTCCCTTGATGGAGCATCTTGTCTTAATTTAATAAGTCCAGCTCTTACTCAAGTCCAAAAACAATATATTCCAATCCAATGTTACTTCTCAGAAAGTTCAATAATCATAGTTCTTTACATCTCAATTATTAATCAATTCCATTTAAGTAGTCCAGTCAGCTTCCACAAATCAAGTCACTTTATTTTACTTAAGAATCTTCCTTATTCTCACAATAGAGTAATCATAAAGTAGATAGTTATAGAACAGTAAGTGTTACCGCAGTCCTCCAAATGAATGTTGTTTATTTCATCAAATTTTTTCTAAACTTGTAGTGGGTCTGGTATATTCCATTCATCACCCTCAGCTTAGGTTTCAGCATTGTTTCAAGTTTTATAGATTTGATTAATGCAAATTTAGTTCAATTTATGGTAGCAAAACTGGCTATTCAAGTAGATTCAAGTTGATAGTTTCAGCATTTTATAATGCCTATCCAAAACAATGCCTGCTCAATTTTAAAATCCAATTTTCTATGCTTTAAAAGGTCTTTAGCTTTTCTCCTTTTAGTTCCTTTCTTTTGGGTCTAGGATTTTTCTCTCTATGGTTGTTTGCCACTTTAAGTTCTAAGAGTCTTTTTTCCTGGATTTTCCTCTTTCTTTTTTTCTTTAAAGTTAGGGTCTAAATAAAAAGGAATCTTCTCACCCAGCTTCAATTGCTGTTCATCTACACCACTCCTGCACAATTTTTTGTTGCCTCAGCTGTCCCAGCTTTGTAGATGAGAGTGAAGAGGAACTGTCCAAGCTCCTCATTGTGGATGAGAGGAAAGAAGCCCTGGGTGAGGCAGGATAGTTGCTGCTCTCCATGACCTGCAGGGCACCCCTCTTTTTTTCATCATCCCTACAGGGTGGCTTTAGCTCCTTTCGGAGCCCTCCAACAGGGAGAACTTGGCATGGGAGCATGGAGACCCACTCTTGACATCTGATATCGCCGTGATGTCAGCTGGAAGTCCAAATCTGCATTTCTAAAAGCTGACCTCAGTATCTGCAGGGGGCAGGGACTTGAGTCTGCTTTCTGTCTTTTCAGAGCATGTTTCTTCATTTCCCCTTTAGGGAAATATAACATCTTGCCTTTTTAATATTTCCCAAAATATTTCATTCTTCTAGGAACAGGGGTGGCTTCCCACACTTAGTTACGGAAACCCATTGGGTAACTTTTGCCCACTCATTCTCTCTCAGCCCAGTTTACTTCACAGGGTTGTGGTGGAGGGAGTGCTATGATCAACACGTTGAGAATTAATAAGAAAGTGAGTTGTGTGTGTTCTGGAGAACAAAATCTTACCTTGGAAAAAATGACTGGGGTCAAGGGACTAGGCAAAGCTTAGCTCTGAATGAGCTATGTATCCTTCCAGACAGAGAACAAGTGACTATCGCAAGACAGAGGCATTTGCTGGGAGCAAATGAGAAAACATATTTTGCAATATGTAAATTCTGCCCCTTGCTTCTTTTCATGTAATATCATGATACAAAAGGTACAGCTTTCTTCCTCTACTGGTATCACAATTTATAGTTTGATATTTTGGCATCATCGTGCTGATGAACCTAGTCCTGTAAAAAGGAGATAGGAAATACCTTGTGATTAGCAATCTCACAAAAGGTAAAGGCACAGGCAGAGAAGGGTAAAGATCAAGATCTGTGACCCCATTTCATCTGATGCATATATTTCTAAAGTGGGTTGCTAACAATTATACTTGTTTCTTGTTTGTTACTTTTTTGACTTGTGTTTTTTTCTCTTGTGTTACTGTTTTTTATTTATGTGATATTATGTGCACTGTCTAGGTAAGGTAAGGTAACAGAGGCAGCTTAGAAATTGATTAAATAAATAAATGTAAATAAAGAGGTCTTGCAGAGGAAATCACTGCTTCTTTATTTACATTTCAAACCTTGAGATCAGAAAATTGTGAGGTGCTAAAGAGTCAGTGAAACTATAGTCACATTTCCAATAAAAAGACAGGAAAATTCTAAGTGGATGGAAGACAACATTTTTAAAAGTGTGTTGTCATTGATATACTGAGACAGGCTGATTTAAACAAGGCCTAATTGAATAATACTGTAGTGCATTGCCTTTAAAATTAGCACAATTTTCCTGTTAAATCAGTGCATGGGGAAAACATCTGTTGAAAGGCTGGAAAATGCCTTTCTTCTGAGGGTTCGGTTTTCCTGCTGGGAGCACTCCAGTGCAAGGATTCAGACAACTGCTTGGAAGCTGGTTCTTTTTATTTTTCAGGAAGGCGAGAGATAGCAAGAAGTCTGCGTTCCTGGAGCTAGCTCTCTTTGTATAATAAAAACCCTGATTTTTATACTTTTTTTTCTCCTTTTTGTGTGTGAGT